AAAAACAAGGTTCGTGCCCTGTTTACATTATGAAGAATTTTAAGTTCTGTATCTCTTTTGTAAATCAACAAATGATGTTTAGAATTTTGCTGATCATTTGAATTGCCTTAATTAAGAATTATAAACATTAAAATTGGTTATAAAAAATCTGTTTAAACTATGTCCATGCCCCTATAAATGCAAATGTTTTTTTCAGCTGGTACTGTGTCGATACAAATATATTTCATTTATTATTAAAAGACGATGAAGACAAGTATAACTTTTAAAATTATTTATTTTTGATTTGGCGATTGTGGCCACGACTTACATAATACAATATATACTTTATTACTCCTTATAACATACATGTAACTCCTTATATACCTTATAATCCTTGTCAACCTTATAATCCTTATCCTTATAAACATTAAATCCTTATCCATATAAACCTTATATCCTTATTCTTATAAACCTTATAAGTCATAACCTTATCCTTAAGATTTGAATACTGACAGCATTCATGCTGGTACTGGGTGAGCAGATACTCAGCAGAAGTTGTGAAAAATACTTGTACATGTATCATGGAAGGCGTCTCAAATAACCGCCAAATGGTTGTTTGTTGCAAAAGACAACCAACGCCAACATATTCAATAAGGAAAACTGTCAGATTTTTTTTTATTTCACGACAATGATCAAACGATTTGCATGCATGTAACTCGATTGATCACATCATGGAACCAAAAATTTTAAAATAATACATAATTCCATATGCTGTACATAATCACACATAAAATCCCACAAAACTTTGAAGTTTATCATTGGTCCAATGACTATGCGTGGATTCAGGACCCTTGACGTTATTTTAAATGGCATCGTAACAATTAGATCACGTTAAATAGGTGGCTTTGTGAATAAGAGATTTTAGGAAGATAAGATGGGTATTTCCGTTTTTAACTAAGTATAGCTCTGAGGATTCTCAATTGTTTTCTTGGCGCATTAAACTGAAGGTCACTTAAATCAGGTAAATTAATTTACATGGTATTAGTCTGGTCCTGATTTTTAAAAAGAAGGCTAGAAATAACTTCTAACGGCAAATAATTATTATTTGGTCCAGCATAGTTTTTTAACCTATTTCAAGTATGCTGAATCCGAAAAAAATATGCTGGCCTTCATGAAAATCACGTTAAAGGGGTCAAAATGGCGATTCAAAATGGCGGACATCCAATTTTTCTAATTTTCTCTTAGTATTGTTCAAAATGGAGAAGTAATGTGTGAATATCTCACTGAGTGTAATACAACTTCAAAAATGATAATAGAATGCTACATTATTAGTTTAACTCAGAAAGTTTATTCGTTTCTACACTTAATTCGAATTTTCTCTGATTTATTTGTCTATTGCTTCTGTATTCTGCTTTTGTAAGGAATTTACATTTGCAAATATCCATACACTGTAGATTTGTATTTTTTCTCTGCATCTCATAATTCTACAATTAAATGATGATGATGCTGTAAGTTAAAAGTCAAAATGGCGGATATTCAATTTTTTTCAAATTATTTCTTAATGTCGTTTTCATAAGAGAAAGGATTTGTGAATATCGAACTGAGCGTAGTGCAACTATGTAAAATGACAGTAGAACACTAATATTATCACTTTAATGCGGAAAATTTGGTCGTTTAAATTTGAAATGTGTTAATTACCTCAAAATGGCAATTCAAAATGACGTCATATACATTCGAATTTCGTAAAATACTAAAACTGCTTAATTCTGAGTCGTTTTGTAGAAAATAATTTCAATTTGTTTTTTTTATTAATGAAATAATATTCAAATATGCAATGAAAGTTGGAGGATATTTTTGTTAATTACTGATGATTTTTATGACATGGATCATTGTTTAATTACTTCTATTATTATTTAGATAATTTTTTGACGACAATTCCGAAGACATTGTACCTATTACCTGTCTCACCATGCTTCATGATATAAAATATTAATAATATCATACAATAATTGCTGTTTAGAGGACAAAATGACAAGTAAGCTACCCCAAGAGCAGTATTCACCGAACGTAAAGGCGAGTGAACATTGTAATTCGAGGGTTGCTAAATCATATCAGTTTTTTGGAAATTCTTGATCTATCTTTAAATGTTTACAATGTATAATGTTTATGTGGAAGGTCTGGTGCAACATAACTTAGCATGTTTTTAGAAATGATGGATCACAACCATTTAGAGGGCTAGGAATTGTTACATCATATAAATCTGAATATATTATAATATCCAAATATCAACACACTTATTAAGAATTATCAGTATAATATACGTAAACCATTTTTGCTCTTGATTGTCCAGCTCTGATTCCGTGTCCCTGCATTTGCATTTTGTTATTCTCAGTCAAAAATTCAACTGCATTCACAAATATTTCATGTTGTGAACGGATAATCTTGTATTGAACAGTGTACTAGTATTTAAATTTTGGTATTTACAAAATCTGAAAGGGAAAAATGTTTATGTTTAATTCCCCCTCGATTCTTGATTCAACCTTACATTATTCTAACAAAGAAGTTTGGATCAAGTTGCCTTGTAAAGTTCTTAGAGTTTTCAACAAAATTTGGATGTCAAGAAAAGTGTTGACGAGATTGAAGTCAAGAATGGCTTAGGCCTATTGGTACGAAAGCTTGTAAATGATAGGAATCACGAGGATTCTGCGAGTGCTCTTAAATTGCACCATTATACAACTTTTCTCACCAATATATGCACACAATGTGACTCCAGATGATAAAGTTTGAAAATTTTCTTGCTAATAGAGTGACCTTTCTACCCCAAAAGACAACAAATCTATACGGTCACAAAGTAGAAAGCTACATGTCTTTAATGTCAGAGATTTTTTTTTATTTTGCATAAAGTTTTGGAAAACAAAATACAGTGTATACTTTTAAAATTTGATCATAAATGTGTTGTTCCTTGAATGTTGAAAATACCAAAATTCTGATGACAGACTGAAACATATAACAAAGTTGGAATAGAAGATGTTATGGGATAATACTCAGCTCTTACAAGTGCTAATTTTCCAAAGCTAGCACAAAGGGTTCGATGAAATCGGACAAGAATTTCTTCAGTTATATTTGATGGTGTGCTTATATAGGGATGTTGAAGTGGAAATGCGAGTTGATAATAACAGCTATTCAGGATTTATTTTAGGTTGATGAGGGCTCAAAGGCTTTGGAACACAGTCAAATACGAGGGGAAATTTGGAAACTCTTAAGTCGAGTTTGTTTTACCTATTTCCATAAAAAATGAAACTTTTCTAGTATTTTTGTTTGTTCATATTTAATGGACTAATCAATATAATCGGCTAAACTCAGAAGAAAGGGACACCAAGGGACATTCCTTTGCCTATTAATTTGCTATACCTTGGAAAAAACATATTACCCTGTCTCCTCCCATCAACCATTTTGAAAAACATTGTTACTGCTCGCTGTGTGTGGAAGGGGTAGGGGGAGGGGTGATTGGATGACTGAAGATGGACTGGAATGTGGTGATATTGGTTAAGTCATTGTTCGCTGAGTGTAAAAGCAGTCTTTAGCTCTTTACGCAGTGCCCTAGTACTGTTTTTGAGTACCCTCTTGCACCTCTACTTGTTATCATACCAGTATATCGATATGTCATTGCTCATTCTCTCTAGAGATAGACACCTGTAGAATGCAAATGGAACCTTTCTAAAGTCTGCAATTTTAAAATTACCTTTTAAATTGTTTCGGCGATAAATCTGTCTTTTCCATAGCTTCAGAAAAATATATATATATTGAATACAATTCAATTAATTTAATACATATCAATAGAAGATTGAGGAGAAGGAAAATTAACTGATAAAATAAACATCTTTAAGTTGCGTTACAAATACACAGTGGCCACTTACGTGCTTCAAAAATTATTTAGAAATTACGTTTCCCATTCTCTTTATATGCATACAAAGCGAGCAAAATGCCAGGCAGTATATATAAATATATTGTGGAATATTACTAAGACCAATGAGATGGGATGGTTGTTCTTGGTTGTTTTCTGCCAACTTATGGATGGGCCATTGCAGATATTTTTCCGAAAATTTAAATTGTAAGTTACAGCTGCATCATCATTCAGTAGTAAAATAGCGAGATGCAGAGAAAAAATACAAATCTGCAGTGTATGAATGTTTGCAAATGTAAAATCCTTACCAAAGCAGAAGATAGAAACAATAGACAAATAAATCAGAGAAAATTCGAATTAAGTTTAGAAACGACTAAATTTTCTGAGTTAAACTAATAATGTTTGCATTCACTTATCATTTGTAAAGTTGTATTACACTCAGTGAGATATTCACACATTACTTCTCCATTTTTAACAATATAAAGAGAAAATTAGAAAAATTAAATGTCCGCCATTTTGAATCGCCATTTTGACCTCTTTAACGTGATTTTCATGAAGGCCAGCATATTTTTTTTCGGATTCAGCATACTTGAAATAGGTTAAAAAACTATGTTGGACCAAATAATAAATTTTTGCCGTCAGAAGTATTTTTTCCTATAAATCGGACCAGACTATATATATTGACATTTTTGATGCATTCAATCTAATATAGACTATGCTTTCTGGGGTGTAAGAAAATCAGAGTAATTTTCTCTTTGAAATGGTTGGACTTCATAATTTTACCTAGAAATATTTCTAAAAAATAACAAAACGACATAAACACCCAATTCAGCCCCACAGGAACCAATTTCATTATGCAGGGGGGGCACAGCTATTTATTTTTAGTTTGTTTTACACATATCCTTGAAAAGCAATAAAAACGCCTGAGACGTTATTATCGAGGGGGCACAAGTGTATGGTAGCTATGCTTTCTATTGTTTAGTGTTCTATATATCGGAAAAATTAGGGGCACAGCTCGATGTGCCCTCCCCCCGGTTCCTACGATCATATGCATACAATCTGCTCGATGTATAACTTTTAATTCCAACATAATCGATGTATAATTTCTAATTACAGAATGGAACACATTCCTCGTCTGTCAGAAGTTCTGTATGTGGGTCTGTGTCGAAAAATAGGGACACCGACAGAAGTGTCCTTCAGAAGGGACGTAATGGACATTGAAGAGATGGTAGGGAAACCCAAAGATATGTTACTTAGATTATTAAGTATACCATACAGTTACAGTGGTAGTTTTAGGGAAGGGTTCAGATTGGACTCTTCTGATTTGGATGTTATGCTTTGGGATCAAAATCATAAAATGATAAGTAAGGTTTCCCAAGCAAAGATTTACAATGCATCAAAACACACCATTATCCTGGTAGAGGATAGTGACACGCCACCTGGATTTGTCAGATTACAACTTCTAACAGAGACAAGAGACTGTTTCATCAGACAAACACGTGTTTCCTTCAATGACAAATTTTATCTTTCAAATTTGATATGGAGAAAAGAAATGTTGCAAATGAGCAATGAATACTTTAAGAATGCCAAAAGTCATGGTCCGTGTATAACCAAATCCTGTGCAGGAACTGAAATTGACGAAGTTTATTGTTTAGCAAGTATACACTGGCCAAAATCAGCACTTAAATGGATTGAACGATCTCTAAATTACACCTGGCCTCCTGAATTTGTGATTAAAGAAATTTTGAACAATGGCTATCACTGTGTCCCTATCGGAAGTAGGCCTACATGTGATGATTTATGTGTTGATCAAGAACTCGAGTGGAGATTATCGTTTTCTCGAGCCGAAAAGAGACTTGTGAATACCATGAACCATACCCAATTTTTATGTTACGGACTTCTTAAAATATTTCTGAAGGAAGTTATCAATGACTGTATCGAGAAACCACTACTTTGTTCATATCATATAAAAACTACGATGTTCTGGATTATACAGTTTGGAACTATCCAATGGTACCCAACCAATTTATTGAACTCTTTCTGGAAATGTTTGAAATATCTCATTCATTCTGTAAATCGTGGTGTATTGTCCAATTTTTTTAATTCTCAAAATAACATGTTTGCAAACAAAGTAATTGGAGAGGAACGCATCTTTCTGTTGGAACAACTGAACCGGTATTATAAAATGGGTGTGTCTTGCCTGCTGCTTAGCCCGACTCTCAGGGCAATTGTGGAACCAGCTCTTGTCAACCCGTCTTTTGAGAGTCCTTTCGCCGATGGACATGTTAAATCTGTCCCAGATATAGATTTGTATTACACGAGTAAACAATCCTGGTCCTTATATAAGGGTTTTGACCTTCAAACATATTATTTATATTTAAAATCAATAGAAAACGTATTACAATTTCCATTATCGCCATGCCAGACATTAATATTACAATATAGTACTGCTAAAACCCTTATTTATATGTTTTTCCTCATGGCAAGTACCTCTTCTTATTGCAATCATAAGGATATGTACTGTAAAGATAGAATTCTTTGTAACATTTTAAAGCTGGTAGGAAAGATAGGTTGTGGGGCAGATTCATTGTATCTAGCACTGCATTACTATAGGACAAGAAGATATCATAAGGCAATTTGTATAATTAATTTTATTAGGAAAAAGATATCACAATTTCACAATTATACGATTATAGGCGGGGAAATATATCAAGCTAAATGCCTTCGGTCTCCATCTAATCGAATGACAATATCCTGGGCTGAAGACATTTGGCTACATACAGATGTTCCCTTTCTTCAAGAATTAATTTTAGAACAAGAAATAGCTTGGCAAAATGAAAAGAACACTTTCTATATATCACCGTTTGTTCTTGTAGAAATGCTGTCTGTGTTATCTTACTATAGACTAGGTAATCAGTCTCAATGTCTACAGTCCCTGGCAGACCTAAAGATCTTGCTCCATGATAGTGATAGATGTGTATCAGTATGTCTTAGAGACATATCCTGGCAGATATTAGGAATCTGTCAGCAAGTTGTGGGGGACTTACACGGAGCATTGCAGTCTTATCAAGAGTCACTAAAACAGGAACCATTCCACAAAAATCAGAAAGCTGCAGAAGCTAGAATAAGATATATTAAAAACCAACTTCATAGAAACATTCCTTAAAAAGATGTATTTACATGTATACACCTTTCTTGTAGGTAGATTATACAGACCTGTTCGGCAAAAATCAATTTGTATATATGAAGATGATTTTCATAAATATAATCAGACTGAAGATAGCTTTAATGTTATAGCTTTGTTTTTGTTTTAATTGTGAATAAAACAAATCCCAAAATACATCTGTATCATTCAAAAGAGAGTAACAATGCTCACGATTGTAACGGTGATATTAATGTTTCTTCTCCAAATACAACCGGGGGATTGGATTGTTTGTTGTTAATTTACGTCCCATTCGAGAATCTTTCATTCAATTAGAGACATCACCATGTAATGATGAAGAGCCTCAAACTGACCTTTACTCGGCACTCAGGACCAAGTGCAGTTAGGGATCTTTAAATCTTTATCGTGCCAACTCCTGTCTTGACAAAGGACCTTGGTGTTTAAGGTCTAATCCGAAGGATCGAAAATTTCACTTCAAGTGCCGAGCGCATGGTGAAGGATCAGTAGCTACTCATTTCAATCGACTTAGGTAAGTCGCGGCGAAGATTCGGAGTCACGACCTCCCGATCACGGAGCGAGCGCTCTACCGTCTCAGCTACCGTGAACTGTGTCTTAACAGGAAAGCAGAAACGATTTGGAAATTTAGTATTGGGGGGGGGGGGGTTAATATGATGAAAAAATATCAACTTACCTGTAAATGATACGATACACTTACCCAAAAGAGAACGAATTCTCCAAACTTAATTAACTGGGAAGGGTGTAAGGTTCAATAAACGGAAAGGGATTTGACTATTGTAAGAGGTAATAAACCTTTTAAAGAAAAGTTTCCTACTAAATTGATAGCGAAACTTTCTTTTTAAAAAAAAATGTAGGAAAGGGTAATGCCACCTGCATGCTCACTCTGATTCTGTGAACTTGAATGTAAAGTTCACCTGTATGACTGAAAATAAGGCCCAGTTTAAGTCATTTTCAGAATTAATGTTATCAATTTGGAGATTCTGTCTTCTTCATTTATTTTTAAAGCTTAATTTAATTTTTTTTATTGTGTGATTTCAATTTTAGAAACAAAAAACACAAACTACTTGAAAAAATATACATCTAAAAATATTTATTTAAAGAGTACTATTGTAAATTATTATAAAAAAAAAAACATTTTAAAAACGGACAATACATTCATTTTCTATTTGTATAAATAATACGCATAATTTGTGTAAAGGTTCTTGAAAATGTGTAAATTACACTGGGTTTATGCATTTTGTAAAGTGAATGTATATACGATATAAACTGCTATACATAATAAACTACATCCATGTAACACTAAAACATAGTAACTAGAATCGTATCAAACATTCAAAAAATACCCTATATGATTTATTGAATTAAGCTTTATCATGAATTTATGAATTAAATGAAAAACAAATAACATAAATTTGAGAACACAATGGATATTATTTTTGCACAAAATATAAAAAAAATATTTTCAATAATCTACTTTGCATGTTAATATAAACTGAAATGGTGGATAAGTTTAAAAGTATTTAAAAAAAAATAAAAAGTGGTATCTGCCAATATAAAACTAGTAGACTGTATATAAAAACATTGTGAAATAATATCTATGATTTGTCGGTTTTCAGATCAAACGAGTTAGAAGAGTTCCGACAGCCAACAAATACTGAAGCAATAAAGAAAAGGACCGATGCAATCAAGGACACAAGCACCCACCACAACATGACTCCGACCGCCATCTTGTCGTGACTGTACATAAGACACGAGCCTGATGAGCCACAGGAAGCACCAGACCATAACAGACAGGATTGATCCAGTACCCAGCCAACTAACACTGGACCAGGGATCATACCTAGTAAATAGAAATTTCATATGACATATTTTCTCTCCGAGTTATTTCCCTTTACCGCCATCTTTGTGGTCAAACTAGCAATTTTTTTCTCGTTGTCTTGCCAAATTTATGAGGGTGTAGCAGAAATATTTGGGTGAAAATCTTAATTTTAAATATTATGAAATAAAGGAGGATATAAAAATGATATTTTTCAGTAAAAATTATTGTTGGTTGAATAATGAAGAAATCTGAGCCAATATGGCGGCCAGTGGGAAATACTGTAACTCTTGTCAATTTGGGTTTACTGAAAACTATATATACTCGTACAAACATAAAACATGGGTAAATCTCACATTTTAATCATTGCCTTAAAATTTTTTGTTGCTCTTCTTTTAGGTGTGAGAAGTTTCAAAATGGCCGAAAGATTTTTGTCTCTGCACTTTCATGATCAATAAAACAGCTGTCAAATATAACTCGTACGTATTTTTTAAAAGTACTTTTTTGAAGTATATTATGCGTTTTAGAAGTAAGCATATTTTCATTCCTTACCTAATAATCTCACGAATACCCACTGTATACCAAGAGCAAATGGTTTATCTTGGTCGTCAACACACCTACAATCAAACGAAGAGACATATTTAAAATAACAAAGCATCTATATTTCTATATTCCTTGAAAAAAAAATCAATTTTCCTCTCGTTTGTCGATTAAATTTAAAACAGTATTATATATAATAGCATAAAGTTCACAAGATGTTCATAGGAAACAAAGGTCATCTGATTTAACGTTCTGTCTTTGAAGTCTTGTAATCCATACAATCTATACCTTGACCCATTAAACGTATACGTTTTCATTTTATTATAAGGGCATCATCACTGCTCATGTACAAAGAATAAAATTGAAAAAGAGTCTGGTACATTCTATTCAACACTAAAAGTCAAATTACTCTTAAATCAAACGTTCCAAACAGAGGATCAAGGGTACATGTAATCTGAATTTATGGAAAGTATGAGTGGAAAGACATATGGGAAAAA